CGGCAGGGACCATTTGTGATAAAAAGCCCAAACGTTAAGGACTATTAGTGTCACAAAAAAACCTCAAGGACCATTCGTGATAATTTCGTAAATGTGAAGGACCATTTGTGATAAAAAGCCTTTAAGTTTTAAGGCATGTAGCATTTTGTTAATATATTCTCTTTATTGCCCCCAGTACATGAAGTTCTTCAGGTTTTATCATTAATTGTGACATAACATATGAAGTATTGCCACCAATACTTCTTTCAACCCCTTCACCATCTCACATAAACTAACAGGCATCAAGGAAACTTGTGTAAATTTTGTTTCATGGGTTACAATTTCTTATCTGTACTTGCAGTTTCTTGCTATCATTAGTTACAATTCTAATTACATCAACCTCTCACTAACATAGCATGCTCATTAGTAACTGTCTCAACCAACCTAATTGACTAGTTTCTAATCTATACGTGCAGTTTAGATTGAAGGCTTTGATTGGTGATGCCCTTCAGGAAATAACCATCTGCCCCTGCTGCGAGGAAGCTTGGCAATGCAAAAATCTCACTGGTCCAGGCCAACTTGAAGATTGAACCTCTATAACCAAGAATATTTCTCAAGTATGATACTACCTGTAGGTATTCATATTGTATATTAGGGCCAAAAAATATCTAAATAAATATATAGCAAATTAAATTTGTAAAATTCTAACCTCCTGTCCATCATTAACATCTTCCAAGTCATCTTAAATGAGAATCGCTTGAAAAAAATTAACCCCATGCATTTGTATTCTAGCCAAAGCCGGCTGCCGACTCTAGTCAATGACAACTCTTGAGACATTAATCCTTCCATTGAATTGCTCAAAGAAGTCTGTCCGTATGGTATTATTGGTCTCAATGTGGGATACTTGGTCGCGGTCCACAAGTTTTTAAATTTTAAAAAAAAATTCTAAGTTTTATAATAGTTTCCTTTAATTTTTTATTTTTTATTAATATTTTAATTCATATGGACAATTTTATCCTTCAATTTAATGGCAAAATTGACAAACTTTGATGGTAGGACCAATTTGATACAAAATAAAGAGTTTAAGGATGGTTCAAATGAAAATTTTAGTTGATGGAGCAAAATGATATTGGAGCAATAGTTGGGGGACCATTTCAGTCATTAACCCTAACTATTTAAAAGCATAAATATTACGTTGGGCTTTTAGGATATTTGTGAGAAAGAGTTATTTATATGGATTATGAGGGGTAGGGGAATTGGAAGGAGAGGCAGATGGTCATATTTCAATGACTACAGTGTCCTAGGGAAAAAGTGAAGGTTCTCCCACAACTTTCATGGTTAAAATATGCCATCACATCGCATTAGGAATGCGTGTTGGTTTTCTCAAATCTCCTTGAGAAAGAGAGAAAAAGAAGGTGGACAATTCTACGCCAATTTACAAGATTAGACCACAGAAGATTTGTATTGACTGGTTTGCCGTAGTGTTTACTACAATACAATGTTGGACTATTACTTCTAATTCATTTGCGTAGAGGTGGATTTAGGAATTTTCATTCTAGGGGTCAATCTTTTCTTAGTCCTTGAGTAAAACTAAAACTAAAACAAGACTCAAAACAATCTTTCCAAACATTTTCATGCACTTGTGAGTATTTATAGTTGGGTGATTAGCACATTAATTTGTGTCGTTACAATTAAAAGAAAAGAATCATGATTTTTTTCTCCCCTTGTTTCCTTTCCGCTCCATATTTTCCAGCTTTCCACCTCGAGCTACACACCCATATTTTCTGGTTTTCTATCTCGACCCACTTTATTAAACGAGTTATAATGGGCATCTTCTGCTCCGAAATTGCTAGAGCAAACTATGTAGAGCTGGTGCAGATCCTACAAGCAAGGCTAAGTATTGGCTAAGTATGAAAAATAGTTTTTCGGAATAATCATTTTCTCAAGATAATTTTTGGCTGCTTTTATTCCTTACACATCAAATAAGAAAACTTGATTTGAAGGGATTTTAGTATGACGTATATATTGACTTAATGAGCCATCATTTTTAGCATAAATCGTATTTTGTACTAAAACCGATTTTTCATATTTTGATTGGGTGAGAATATGATTTTCTAGTATTTTTATTTGAATCCAAATGGGGGGTACTTTCTTATTTACATTGTAAAATTAAGTAAATTGAGTAATATAAAAATAAATGAAAGTAAAAGTACAAAGAAATTTACTTTCTATATACATTCCCCCTCTGTTTGAATGAGAGAATTTTGTTAAAATCCCATTCACCCCTTTGTTTTATTGGGCAGCAGAAGAGATTTTTTTTCAAAAAAAAAAAGAAAATCTGAGCCAAAACGACTTCTTTTTGGCCAGGTTTAAAAAAAAAAAAAAACTTAAGTGGAACGACGTCATTTTGGCGTCAGAAAAAAAAAAACAAAACAGCGATTGGCACTGAGCACTGCGTGCGCGCAGCAAGGTTCTCTCCTCTGGCTGTGGGCTGTGGGCTGTGGCTGCTTCCTCTTTGAGGCATTTTATCAAACACCTTCTGGGCAATTTGCAGGGGTCAAGTTCTCGAACTCCTATGGTGGATTTTGGGTTTGCAGAAATTCAAATTTGAGACATCTTCTGATAACTTAGAATAGTTTAAAGCTACATAGATAAATAAAAACTATACTTTCAGATGAAAGTGATTGATAGGTCATAGAACATGGTCTTCCTTGATTGGTGATGTGCCCATGGTGAGCAAGCTCTGTGGGCTGGTTAAAGCCGGCGGGAGTAGATGATAGTTTTCAATGTAGCTCTGGTTTTTCACTTAGGTTAGGCAAAACATCTCTTTCACATAATTAAAAGAGATTCAAAGTTTGAATATTCTTTCATTAAAAACAAAAGGAAATTACATGATACATGTGCAAAATAAATGTGGTAAAGAATTCCACAATTTCTCATTCGGCTAATTAAATTTTAGTCTTGCCGATGAAGAATGTCAATTCACCGAACAATACAAAGATTAGTATGAATGTCATTCAACCCATAATATAAAAATTGGTTAAGCACGAGTATAACACCAAAAATCAAATCAGGTAATGTAACAATGAATAAAATTGTTGCATAAAATGTCAAGAACATTGTGAGTTTGTAGTTGGACAAAGTTTACTCCAATATGTACGGACAATAATTTGTGATTTGTGACAAATAGACCAATCTTTTTCTTCAATAACTTTTCGGATACGGCCCGCACCAAACCGGAATTCCCGTCGGCACGCCACCGCAGCCAAAGCTGCTATCTCCCATCGGAAATCCCATGCTCGAAAGAGACGACGTCGTAGCACACGCTTTCAACTCCGGCACCTTCATCCTCACCGAAATATTCACAATCCCGTTCCTCTCTCCCCTGTGGTTTCTCAGTCTGTAACTCAAAAAATGCAGGTAGCCCTCAGGCACAAACCCGCCCACGAAATCCGACACCGGAATCTTCGCCGTTCCGATGGTCCTGACGCCGTATGAAGTCTTGCATTGAACCTCCACCGTCAAGGACCTCGCCTGCATTGGCAAGTCTAGCACAAGCTTCTCGTTCCACTTGGGGTAGGCGCCGCCTTCGGTGTCCATGTCCGTGGTGCGAAATTGGCCGTCATTCTCGGCGCGGACGGTCGCAGAGGCGTTTTTCTTGATGGGTTTTCGATCTAATTGCAAGTTCTCGGCGGATATGACCGTGATTTCTAGCGTCCGGGACGTTGCTGCCATGGTTATGAAAAGTGCACGTTAGGTGTTTGATGAATTGCTTGTGTTAATGGTCATTGTGATGAGAAATAGTGTAGTGGGGGAATGCTTTTATAAGGGTGTTTGGAGGAAGGTTGTGAGGAAAGGAGAGTGAAACAGGGACGTGGTTTCTGAGTTTCTTAAAATTCCAAATTTGGACTCAAACAAAGACGCGCCCAAACAAAGACGCGCCTAATTCTTTTATTTTTATTTTTCTGGGTAAATTTCATTTTATTGCTTGGAAGTTTTCTAAAATTTTGACTTTGCAACCTAAACTTTTTTCTTATCAACTTCGTACATAAAGTTTAATTTCCTTTTATTTTCATACCAACAGTCAATCAGCCGTCAAAAACTCTGTTAACTCATGACGTGGTAAATGACGTGGCAATAAAGAGACCCACAAATTATTTTAAAATAATAAATACATTTATAAAACATGATAAATATTTATAAAAAAATTTAAAATTGAAAAAAAAAACTCTCTCCATCTCTTTCTCTATCATTCCCCCTCTCTCAATTACCAAAACATCAATTGAAAAGCATTGAAAAAAAACCTAACCAACCCCCTCCTACCCTACCTCCCTGACCCAGATAGAACCGCCCTCCCCTAGATCCTTGGCCAAGAGAAGAAAGAGAGTTTAAAAAAAAATTATTTTCAATTTTCAGGTTTTTTTTTCAAAATTTTAATTGTTAATCTATCGTTTTAATTTTTTAAAAAATATTTTTAAATATTTTTTTTATCAACTGACGTGACACAATATGTCTGCTTTTTAGTGGGCCATTGATTGCCACATCATCATTTAACGAATAACTTAACAGTTTGATTAACAGATGTATGAAAGTGGTAAAAAAAATCAAATGTTGGGTACAAAGGTGATACGAAAAAAACTTTAGGTAGCAAAGTCAGAATTTTGGGCAACTTCCGGCATAGTCTAAAATATCGAGGATATTATTGTTTTTTCAGGTCACAGATATTTCGGAATGTATCCACACACATATCGTATAAATATCAATAATATCGGAAAATATTGATGTCGATAATTTCGCTCACACTTTAGCAATATTTTGTCAAAATATCGCTATAATATTGAAAATATCGATGAAATGGAAAAAAAGGGGGAAAAAAACACAAAGCACACATACAAAGGGGATTTGAACCCCTGCCATTTCACTCCTCCAACGCCTTAACCACCATGTTGCTTATGTTTTTGTGATAATACCGTAATATGCAAAGGGAAACTCTATGTGGTACTAAGTCTCTCATATATCTTACCATGCAATGTATACAGTGTAAAATATTGTACAAAATCATTGTATATAAATGATTATGGTGTGGTTAATCTTCTTTCATTAATTACTACATATTTTCTACACTCATAGTGTTTGTCAGCTCGCTATATAATCAACTTAAATAAGTTAAACCCATCATGCAATGCATTTCCTTTCAATTTTTTGTGATAAACTAGTAGATAATTGACTAAATAAATATCCTCCAAAGTTTTAATAAAAAAATTCAAGTTTTTATCACAATTTCTATGGTTTTTATTCAATTTTTATCGATATCAATAATATCCCGATATTTCCATCAAAATTTCTGTATTTTTGGACTACCGATATATCTGATACCATCGATATTTTAGACCTTGCTTCCGGGTAGTAAAGTGAAATTTACCCTTTTTTCGGTTGAAAAGAGAGTTCCATACCAAATGATAGTCTCAATTAAGAATAAAATAAATCGAGCTAAATGATGGACCGCAACATTGTCCTCGAAACACAAAACATAGAGAACAATTGCTTAACTGTAAGGATTTGGTAGTGTGTTGGGAAAATGTTGTAATGCTGAAAAACAAAATATAGTAGATGGTTACAATGGTCATTTTGTGAATTAAGAAGAAAAAAAAAAGGTCATTATGTGAAGGATTGAGATTCTTGGCGACCAATTTCAAGTATCATCCGGCAGTAGGCATAAAATCAATTGATTTAGCTGAGTTGGGTCCCCCGTATGCATATGGGTGAACGTCACGTGTTGCGCACTTAGGATTCACTTGCATTAACGTGGGATAGCCACTCGGCCATGTGGCGGCTTTGATACTGAATCACTTGTGCTTCTACGAAAGCTCTCTCCCTTTCTATAGTTAATAGTGACACAAAGAATGACGTTCTCAAAGTCATTGGATAATTAAGTCAATTGTGGTCTGCCTTATTCGACCGTTGCGGCTGCGGTTTCAATGACGTTAACCCCACAGTTTCCCCAAATTTCACGTCATTGGTTGTTATATTACTGGCCTCTACGCATCTGTGCATGCGAGAGGCTTTTTTTTAAATTTTAGAACTATAAAGATAATGGGTAGTTGTGTTCCATAAAAATAGGATCCATTATCTGATTTTTTTTAAATTTAATTTTTTTTAATATGAAAAAGTGTGAATTTACTATATTATTATCATTTAATTAATAATTTCAATTCTTAATATTTGCATTAACCAAGGCATTTTTTTTGGTATTTTGAATGTTTCATCATTTTTTTTCTTTTGCTTTGTATATACTAGCCTCTCTGCATGCGCTTCCGCGCATGCAAGAGGCTTTTTTTAAAAAAAATTAAATTTATTTTAGAATTTTAAAAGATAATGAGTAGTTGTGTTCCATAAAAAGAGGATCTATTATCTGATTTTTCTTTTATTTTTAATTTTTTTTTAATATGAAAAAGTGTGAATTAACCGTATTATCCTCATTTAATTAATAATTTCAATTCTTAATATTTGCATTAACCAAGGGCATTTTCTGGTATTTTGAATGTTTCACTATTCTTTGCCTTTTGCTTTATATATATAGATAAATTAGAGATTTAATTAATAATTTTAATTCTTAATATTTGCATTAACCAAGACATTTTTTTGGTATTTTGAATGTTTCATCATTCTCTTTCTTTTGCTTTGTATATATAAATTAGGGATAAAGTGAAGAAGTGCGACCACAACTTTCCTGGTTAAAATATTGTATTGCAGTTGGAATGCATGTTGGTTTTCTATCGCCTCATTGTTTACAAGTATTTTTGCATACTTTTTCTTTTGATGAATCTCATCTTGACTATGACGTTATGCCACATTGTGAATGTGTTGTTCTTTCCAACAAAAAAAATTGTTGTTTAAGCGTTAGAGAAAGTGAAAAGGATGGACATTTCTGTGCCAATTTTCTAGACTAGACGGCAGGAGATATGTATTGACTGGTTTACCAGAGTGTTTCCTCGTGTAATACAATATGATGTTGGACTATTACTCTAATTCATTTGCAATAGTTCTTTTCTTTTTTTATTTGGAAGGGATGCATAATTCAAATTTGACACATCTTTTAATAATACTATACGGATATAACTCATATTATTCTTGATTATTATCATAATACTCTAATGATTGATAGGTCATACAACATGGTCTTGCTTGATTAATGATGTGCCCATGGTGAGCAAGCTCTATGGGGTGGTTTAAGGCGGCGGGAGAAGATGATATTTTTCCATGTAGCTCTAGGTTTACATACAATAGCAGAAAAACTTGTGTGTAACCGGGGCTATCTTCAGTCAATTATAGACTATCATGTGAAAAAGTTATCACGCGTGGTATAACATGATTGGTCAGGGATAGCGAAAAATGTTATTTTTGTTTCGCTCAAGTGTTTCTAGTATGGTAGGCAAAATATCTCTTTCGCATAATTGAAAGAGATTGTAAGTTAGGAAAAAAAATATATATTATGATACACGTGGAGAATAAATGCAGTAAACAATTCATCATCCAGCTAATTAAATTTTTGACCTACCCGTCATCTGGAAATATGAATGCCAATCGATTGACAATGCAAAGATTAGTGTGGATGTCATTCAAAAGACGATGCAAAGATTGTTTAAGCACATGGGATAACATAAAAAAACAGGGAATGTAAGTAGTAACAATGAATTAAATTGTTGCATAAATTTTCATGAACATTGGGAGTTTGTAGTTCGACAAGTTTACTCCAATATTTACGCACAAATTTTTTGGTGATTTGTGACTAATAAACCAACTAATCAAACCCTTTTTCTTCAATAATTTTTCGGATACGCCCCGTACCAAACGGGAACTCCAGTCGCCACGGCACCGCCGCCAAAGCTGCTATCTCCCACTGCCACTGGAAATCCCACGCTCGAATGAGACGACGTCGTAGCACACGCTTGCAACTCTGGCGCCTGCATCCTCACCGAAATATTAACAATCCCGTTTCTCTCTCCCCTGTTATTTCTCAGTCTGTAACTCAAAAAATGCAGGTAGCCCTCAGGCACAAACCCGCCCACGAAATCCGACACAGGAATCTTTGCCGTTCCGATCGTCCTGACTCCGTAAGAAGTCTTGCAATGAATCTCCACCGTCAAGGACCTCGCATGCAATGGCAAGTCGAGCACAAGCTTCTCGTTCCATTTGGGGTAGGCGCCGCCTTCGGTGTCCATGTCCGTGGTGCGAAACTGGCTGTCCTTTTCGGCTCGGACGGTAGCAGAGGCGTTTTTCTTTATGGGTTTTCGGTCTAATTGCAAGTTCTCGGCGGATATGACTGTGATTTCTAGCTTTCGGGACGTTGTTGCCATGGTTATGAAAAGTGGACGTTAGGTGTTTGGTGAATTGCTTGTGTTAATGTTATTGTGATGAGAAATAGGGTGGTGGGGTAATGCTTTTATAAGGGTATCTGGAAGGAAGGTTGTGAGGAAAGGAGTGTGAAACAGGGACGTGGCTTCTGATTTTCTCCGTTCCAAATTTGGACTCAAACAAAGACGCGCCCAATTAATATAGGTTACCAACTTGTGGGTGCGTTGACCTTGGGCTTTTACTAGGCTGTTAGGATTTGAGTGTTTGGGAAACTTCCATGCAACAGATATATTTTTATCTTTTTCTCTTTTATCACGTGACTCACTTGCAAGGAAACTTCCCTGTAGTAGGAATATATCCGTATTTGCGTGACTTATTCGCTTTTAAATCCTATTATTACGTGACATTTTTGTAAGAAAACTTCCATGTACCAAGAATACATCCGTATTTGCGTGACTTATCCACTCTCAAACTCTTATCGACCTTCAAACATTTAAAATTAAATAGGTGAGATAAGTCACAGAAAATTAGAAAACAAAGAGTTTTTTTTGGATGAAAGAAAACAAAGAGTGGTGGGGATTATATCTATAGGGACGATTCCCTCCACATGCCTAAACTTCTTTGCAACGGCTATATACTCTCTGTTTCTCCGTCATAACGTGACTTGTATGATTTATTAGGTGATGATGTGGTGGAGGAGGAGAAATTGCAAACTTGCAACTGCGGAGTAAATTCAATTCTGGCGTGTGGCGTGGTTGTAGAATTTTCTCAAGTCATGCTTTGGAATTGGAATCCCAGATTTTGTTAAAAAACGATACCAAGAGGGTCTTTGCGGAAATTTATTTTATTATATAGTTGAAAAGTAATAAATTGTTTGTTTCATTTCTAGGCATTGAATGGAAATTGGCACCTAATGGCATTGAAGCTTCTATGAGTAAATTAATCTGCAGTCTCCTAATTGTGTATTTTAAAGTGGAATGATAATCGTGTTCGCTTTTTCTAAACATATTTTATTAATTTGTATACTTGCCCTATTATACTAACAACATAATATACCTTCTCTTATCAAACACATTAAAATATATACGATTCACAATATACATTGGTTTGGACATGTGGTTATTGACTCGGGAAATATAAAAGTTATAACATTCTTTTAAATCTAATCCCTTAATGAATGAGGAAAATCGTGCGAGAGTCTACACAATTAACAAAAATATAAGGATGAGGGGGGTTTCTCACACAAACATCCAAGATGTTATTGAGGTTCAAACCTAAAATCACTGGTTTGCAAATCAAGGCCATTTTTCATTCGACTAGACCCCGTCAGCCTCTTATACAAGCTTTAAATAGCTTAGTTTTATGAAGATTTAATTTCTTTTATCATTCTAAAATTAAACCTCAACATGCCACAAGAAATTTAAATATTAAATTAATGCAATTTGAATAGTAAGAATGTCAAGTTTAAGGGATTATTTTCTAGCCGAGTTTATTGTATATCATTAATGAAATTTATGCAAGTATCATGCCATTCATTTATGGTGTGTCTGGATGCAGGGAAAAAAAGATAGAAGTTTGTAAATGCAGGGAAAACTTCAAATTTGATAGAATCCCCTTCAAACCTAGTAGTTAAACAATTCTTTATTGAGAAACTGATCAATTACAACACAACCCCTACAAGGCTACAATACAATGGTACAGCTTATAAGCTGTTAATTTCCAGCTAATAGCCTAACTTACTAACTAATCATCCACAATTGGTGGCGCTAACCCTTGAGGAATTGCCAATTTGTCCAACTCAGCATATCAACTAGTCAATGCCAGAGAAAGAGAGAAGCGGGAGAGGAGGGAGGGGGGGAAGAATTCATTAAGAGGCCTCTCGCAAATAATAGTTCAAAGGCTCGAACTATTATTTGCACTTTTAAAAAGTCATTATGTATTGCTCGTTCTTTGGAAAAATATAAGATATATATGAGTTATGACCTTTTTTGAGTTTCAATAGCAGCTTCCTTGCATAATAAAAAAATATTTCATGCACCCTATTATTACATTCATCTATGATCGAAACTATAGGTGAAGATGTTTTTTTTTTTCTTTCTATATTTTGATTTTTGAAGTGCTCCTCACAAACATATATTATCAGTTGTTAAGGGAACTAAACTAAATTATATCTAAAAGTTTGGGTCATTGTAAAAATTCCACGATTGCCATGTTGCCAACGCATCACCACCTTGCCACAACCCTAGTCAGAACCCCTACCATTATTGCCCCATCGTCACCATATTTAGAGTATTCCACATTGAATGATGAAATTTTTTCATTATAATATTTAAAAAGATTTTGAATCTCACTACGCATTGACAACTGGCTTTAAGTTGGATGCTCAAAATCTAATATACCACCATCACTATCACCACCGAAATCACCTATAATACGTTTTTCCAACAATCTTCCACAATCACTACCACCCTTTATCACTCACATACACTACCACAATCACATTTTTTGTTATGCAAACTCGACTATCACTATTTTACATAAAGAGATATTTAGTCATATACCCATTCTTAATACTAAAACTATAAATAAACCCTACACCATTTAATTTCTATAAACAAACCTAAAAAACACCCAAAAAATGACAGCTGACTATATTGAATTTAATTTTGATTATTAAATTACTTTGATGCCCTATTGAGTGTTTTGAGCTTTTTTTTATGAGGTTTTGAGGTTGGGTTTGTTTAAAAAAAATCAATGGCAATTTTGTAATTTAAAAGAAGTAAAAGCCTTTTTGTTATGTTATAAATGGATTTCAGGTGCGTTTCTAAAGTGCATTTAATATAGGGTTTTTTTTTTATAATTTGGGCTCCTATATTGGGTATAATAGTGAATCTACCTTTTATAAATTAATGTATCCAAATAAGAAAGTATAAAATTTATGTTTAAATTTTGTTATTTTGTTCAGTTAACTAAATAAGAAACTTTACAAGTTCCGTAATTTTATGCGAATACACACTGGATTTTCTATTAAAAAAAAGGTGAAAACAAAAAGGTAAAAGGAAAAGGGAGTCCCGATCCAATTTCCCTCTTGGATCCAATTTGAAGCACAAAGCTACTTTTTACTAGTAATATTAATGTAGACAGGCAGGAAAGGTTGGAAAAAGAGTTAACAATAATCAGTCTGTGACAACGTCTTTTCTTTGTGGGGTTGGCACCCGTGAGTGTCCAATGTCGTTTCTTGTGTGCTTTTACACACCAAGCAAGTATAATTGTACTCGTTGGGTGGACAAATTCTTGATGACCAGGTCAAGTCAACTTTGGATAATTTCCTTGAGTTTTTTGGGTTACATCACATACAATTTCCTTGAGCTTTTGGCCATAGCTTACAAATAACAATTGCATTGTGTCGTCAGCTTGATTGCGTAATCACATTTAAGAATGAAAACATATAACCAGTCAACCAAAAATTTTGCAATTTTGAATTCATAGCATTTTATATCTACGCATCCTTTAGAATGCAATGTTTATGTAAGCAGAGAAACTTATATGTAACGGGGTGTATATTTTTTATCTTCTCACGTGCCTTGTTTTCTTATTATGCCAAGAGAGAGAGAGAGTAGTATACACCGAGATTACACTTCATGAAAGTTGTTTTCCTACATAAGGTATCATGACCTCATGAAGGGAATTGGTTGTTAAATTCTTCCCTAATCAGTTAAGATGCCGTGTGTGACAAGATAGAATTGCCTTAGAACTACTCTTGGCACAGTGTAGAATGGTGAATGATTTAAGTGTTCTCAGCCATTGATGACATAAGTGATGACTAGGTCATTCGTGGCAAGTAGTCCTTTTCTTCAATTATTTATCTCTCCAATGACTCTTTATAATTTAGGAACTTCTCCCGAAATGCGACCTATGTAATGTTTTTCACATGGTATGGCATGCACAATACGACACTAGTGCTTCTTCATATTTTCTATCTATAGAAATTGTTGATTTCGTCTTCGAAGGTCGAAGCATCAATGGAAGGCGCCCAACGCAACGATGTTAACATTTGTTTGGGGTTGTTTTCAACCCAAGTCATGCTTTGGAATTGGTGGAATCCCAGATTTTGTTAAGAAACGATACCACAAGGGTCTTTGTGGAAATTTATTTTATTATATAGTTGGTTTCAACACGTGGTTATTGACTCGGAAAATATAAAAGTTATAACATTCCTTTTATGGCATGTTTAGTAATCCGTAATTGGATTAGGAGGAATTGAATTGAGGAGGAGTTGGATTGAGGAAAATTAGATTCCGAATTCCTATTGAAGTTGTTTACGAAATCATATGGATTGAGTGGAGTTAGATTCCGGATTCCTATTCAATTTGTTTACTAAACCATATGGAATTGGGGTATGAGTGGTCCTTATTACTAAAATGTCCTTGTTGTTGGATTAAAGTAGATAGCAAATTTGGAATTTTGAAAATTGTGTGAGGATATAATGGGTAAAAAAGATAAATTCCTAATGAGTTAGTTATCCTGAAAATAGAATATCACCTTCCACCCAAGAATTCCTAATTTTGTGTGGGTTCCACTCACTTTTCAATTCCTTGATGTGAAGTAAACGCCGGAATCCTCCATAGGTGGAATTCATTTCCTGATGAGAATTCAAATTCCTAATTGGTAAACACACCATTAATCTAATCCATTAACGAATGAGGAAAATTGTGTGAATCTACACAAATAACATAAATATATTAATTATTCCTCTTATACATTTAAAAAAAAATTCAAGTGATAGGTTAAACTACTAGGGTGAGTTTCTCACACAAACTACAAAGATGTCATTAGAATTCAAACCTTACCTGAGATCACTAGTTTGCGAGTCAACGTCATTTTCCACTGAATTAGACCATGTAGACATCTTATACAATCTTTAAATAGTAGTTTTATGCATATTTAATTTCTTTTATCATTCTAAAATTAAACCTCAACACACAAAAAGAAATTTAAAATATCAAATTCATGCAATTTAAATGGTAAAAATCTCAAATTTAAGGGATCATTTTCTAGCTGAGTTTAATGTATATCATTAACGAAATTTAT